AAAAAAAAAAAAAAAAATTAGCTGAACATGGTGGCATTCGCCTGTAATTCCAGCCACTTGGGAGGCTGAGGCAGAAAAATCACCTGAACCCAGCAGGTCAAGGCTGTGGTGGCCATGAGAATACCACTGCACCCCAGCCTAGGCGACAGAGTGAGACTCCAACTCAAAAAAAAAAAATAATAATAAAATAAAATTTTTCTTCTTTTCCTCAGCATAACAAGCATCATAGCCTAATGGTTAAGAGCATGACTGATCGGGCACACCAGCTTTGAGAGGCCAAAGTGGAAGGATTACTTGAGCCCAGGAATTTTGAGTACCAGCCTGGGCAACATAGCAAGACCTCATCTCTACAAAGAATTTTTAAAAAAATATCCAGGCATAGTGGCGTGTGCCTGTAATCCCAGCTACTCGGGAGGCTGAGACAGGAGAATCACCTGAGCCCAGGGGGAGGTCGAGGCTGTACGGAGCTATGATTGTGCTCACATGACAGAGTGAGACCTTGACACAAACAAAACAAAACAAAAAAACACATGGACTTTGAAGCCAGACCGGCATGGGCTCAAGTTCCAGCTCCGACCTATGAGAACCGTGTGCCCATGTCAACAACAACTCTCCCTCTGAGCCTGAGTTTCTTCTTTTTTTTTTTTGAGTTGGCGTCTCACTCTCACCCAGGCTGGAGTGCAGTGGTATGTTCCCAGCCACCATAGCCTCAACCTGCTGGACTCAGGTGATCCTTCTGCCCCAGCCTTCCAAGTAGCTGGAACTGTAGGCATGTGCCACCACACCTGGTTACTTTTTGTGATTTGTTGTAGAGTTGAGGTCCTGCCAATTTGCCCAGGCTGGTCTCGAACCTGAGGGCTCAGGCAATCCTCTCACTTCAGCCTCCCAAAGTGCTGGGATTATAGGCATGAGCCACCTTGCCTGGCTAGTTTCTTCATCTTTAAATGAGCAAGTGCACCATCTCCCTCCTTGTGGATTGGGGTGATTTGGGGAGTACACCATGCCACATGAGAAGTGCTTCCCACAGGTTGATGGTCAACAAACTCCTGCTGTTATTAATATTCCTAGCCATTGGTATCCAGCTTGAGGACAACCAAGCTGTAAGCGATTTGCGGAGACTTTTTTTTTTTTAGTTGGGATTGCACTCTTTTGCCCAGGCTGGAGTGCAGTGGCATGATCACAGCTCACGGCAGCCTTGACTTCCTGGGTTCAGGCAATCCTCCTGCCACAGTCTCCCAAGTAACTGGAACTACAGGTGTGTGCCACCACACCCAGCTAATCTTTTTTTTTTTTTTTGGTAGAGACGAAGTCTCCTTATCTTGTCCAGGCTGGTCTCGAACTCCTGGGCTCCATCGATCCTCCTGCTTCAGTCCCCCAAAATGCTGGGATTACAGGCTTGAGCCACCGCACCTGGTTGGAGATGCCCATACTGCAGACACCTAGGAAGGGGCTGTGACTTCCAGGATATTTGCCATGTGTCCTCTGGAGAGCCCAGGTGCGGCCCCCAGGCAGGAAAGGTGTGGCTCTGCGCATTCCTTACGCTCACGCTCACGGCTCCTCTCCTTTCGAGGTGCTGGCTGGAAACCAAGCCCCGGGGCCCCAAACAGAGGGAGCTTTATGCTGCCCCTCTCTGTGCGGGGGCTCCCAGGCCCTGTTTTCTTTTCATCCCGTGCTGCCGGGATTCAATGGGCAGAAACTCTGCCCCCCTGTCCCACTATGGCTACACAAACGTCCATTCTCCGCAGGGGCTCCTGAGACACTCAGTTGCAGAGGGGGAGAGGCCAGAGCCACTCACAATGAGTCGATTGTGTGCAGGGCCCGGGAGCCAGCAGGGCCCGGGCAGGGGCGGACAGGAGCCAGCCCGAGCCCACAGGCAGCCGGGGGACAGACAGGGGCCAGGCCGGGCCCTGCTGGCGAGGGGTGAGGCGGCCTGCAGTGGCAGGTGGGAGGCCTGTCCCCACCTCTCCAGGAGAGGCCATGTCTCCAAGCCTGCCAGGAAGGGGGGAGCATGCTGAATGCAACAGGGCCAGAGTCTAGCCCTGTGGGGCTAAGGCATCCCACATGCTGGGGTGAGGGGCCAGCCCAGCTCTCCCGGGATGGCCGGGCAGCCAGCCCCACCTTACCTTTGAAGGCTGCGAGCTTTTCTGGTAGGTTCTCTTCATCGCTATACTTCTGGTCACAGAGAAACTCCTGCAGAGGCGAGAGGCCAGTGCTGAACAAGGGATCAGGGGCGGAAGTCACCGACACGTAGGCCTGTTGTCCAGGTGTCTCCTCTCCTGCCGGGTGGCCGGGCTTGACCAGGTAGGGTGTGTCCTGTGTTTGCCCTGGCTTCCCATCACCTCTCGTAGGCAGTCCTGCCCAGTCCACCCCGTGGGTAGGAAGTTTGCTCTGCAGCTTTGGGAGGACCCCGGTGCTGGGTCCCATGGCTTCCTCCAGGGCACTCTAGCCTCACAATCTGTGGGGCTGTGAGGTCCAAAGACAAGCCACCTAGTTGCATCATGAACTTCTTAGGAATGTGATCCTGAGAGCTAATTCATTCCTCTCTGTACTCTAATGTCTTATGTACCAAATGAGGATGCTGATCCTAGCTACTCCTTCCATTTTTTTTTCTAATTTTTTCTCGTGTTATGTTGCCCAGGCTATCTCGAACTCCTGGCCTCGAGCAATCCTCCCACCTCGGCCTTTAAAAATGCTAGAATTATAGACTCAAGCCACCACACCCGACCTGCTTCTTGGGTTTGAAGGAGAATCCAGTGAGACTGTGTGTACAACTCTTGGCATACAGAAAGTGCTCAATAAATAGCAGGTGTCCTATTAGAAGAATCTGTTCTAGGCCAGGCTCGGTGGCTCAGCATGTAATCCCAGCACTTTGGGAGGCCAAGGCGAGTGGACTGCCTGAGCCCATGGGTTCGAGACCCACCTGGGCAACTTGGCGAGACCTCATCTCTACAATAAAATAAAAAAAAAAATTAGCCGGGCTCGGTGGCTCAGCCTGTAATCCCACGCCTTTGGGAGGCTGAGGTGAGCGGATTGCCTGAGCCTGCGGGTTTGAGACCCACCTGGGCAACTTGGCAACACCTCATCTCTACAATAAAAATCAAAAAATTAGCCGGGCGTGGTAGTGCACGCCTGTAGTTCCAGCTACTCGGAAAGGCTGAGGCGGAAGGATCGCCGGAGCCCAGCAGGTTGAGGCTACAGTGGCCGGGAGCGGCCACTGCACTCCAATCTGGGCGACAGAGTGAGACTCTAACTCAAAAAAAAAAAAAATTTGCCAGGGATGGTAGCACACACCTGTAGTTCTGGTTACTTGGAAGACCGAGACGAAGGACTGCTGAAGCCCAGTGAGTCGACGCTGGAGTGGCCGTGAGTGTGCCACTGCACACACCAGCCTGGGCGACAGAGTGAAACTCCAACTCACAAAAAAAACAACAAAAAAGAAGCATCTGCTCTAGCAAGAGAATGACTACACATTGCTTGGGAGGTCACTTACCCTCTCACTTGTCTCTTTACCTGTAAAACAGGAGTTTTAATCTCTAGTCTGCCTTCCCCTCAGATGCCTGGAGAGACTCAAATAAGTCCTTTCAGAACTAGATGGGTGAGGTCAAGAGGATTGGAGGCCCAGGTGAAACAGTTACCTACACAATCGCTCGGGTTATTGTATCCATTTTACAGGTGAGGGCACTGAGGCTCACAAACCAGAGCTTCAACTCAGCTTTATCTCACGTAGAACCTACACCCTTAGCCCCAACACATAAAGATGGGCAGACTGCAGGCGTTCCTCCTCCCCCGTCTCTAGCCTTCAAACAAAAAGCTACGAATGTGTGAGCACCTGCTATGCCAGGCACAGTGCCAGGTATCTTTTTTTTTAAGTTGGGGTCTCACTCTGTCACCCAGGCTGGAGTGCAGTGGCACACTCATGGCTCACCACAGCCTCGACATCCTGGGCTCAGGCAATCCTTCTGCCTCAGCCTCCTGAGTAGCTGGGACTACAGGCGTGTGCCACCATACCTGCTTATTTTTTTTATTTTGTAGAGACTAGGTTTTACTATGTTGCCCAGGCTGGTCTTAAACTCATGGGTTCAAGTAATCCTCCCACCTCAGCCCCTCAAAGTGCTGGAATTACTGATGTCAGCCACTGAGCCCGATCAGTGTCAGGTATCTTATATGCCTTCCAGTTAATCTTCCAGCAGCCCTAGAACCGGTTCTGATGGGGCGCCGAGGCATGTTCCCATCCCACCACTTGGACTCTGTGGATTTCCCTCTTCTCTGGACCCCTGCTTTCCTCATTACCCAGCTGACTGGACACAGACATTGCTTCTCCATCCATTCAACATTTTGGAGGACACGGTGTACCCTGCGCTATGGTAGGTATCAAGGGAGCAGGGGAGACCCAGGCAAGTGATAATGTCCCTATCCCAAAATTAGAGACAGTCCATGTCTTTTCTGTGTGTGTATGAGCTGGAGTCCCACTCTGTCGCCCAGGTTGGAGTGCGGTGGCACGCTCACAGCCACTCCAGTGTCGACCTGCTGGGCTCGGGCGATCCTTCTGCCTCAGCTTTCCAAGTAGCTGGAACTACAGGCACACACCACCACGCCTGGCTACAGTTCAAGCTTAAAGCAATGTTCGATGTTACCCACAATCTGTTTCCAAATTCTGGTCACCATTTCCCACCAAACGATGACTAAGCCTTTTTTTTTTTTTTTTTTTTTTT